CGTTCAATATTTGCGATCGACGACGCGCGTATTATTTTCAGCATTGTTGAATTAATATTACTTAAACCACCATAAATGAGGATATCCCATAGATTCCGTTTTATTATTAATACAATGTCGTTGGTTTTGTTGATTCTCAACCATGATTAAGATATAATAATAAATTTGTGTGTTAAATTCAGCTATCGATTTTTTTGGTTTTATTTTTGTTTTTATTTACATAAATTTAGTAAACTTTTACAATGTATAATGTCATGATATTTCGTTTTAATGTTGTTTTTAGTATTGCATTGCAAGTGGACAACATTTATTGCACTACTACAATATTTATTGCATACTACAGATAAACGTCATAAAATATAGGGTTATAAAGGTAAACCTTAAGTGCTATGGTAAGTGTATGATTGTGTATAGCCGTCAATAACAGTATTATGTTAGTTAAACACATTACAGCAAAGTAATTAAGTGATTATAAGACTATTACATGTAAGAAATCTAATAACTAGTTAAATTGAGAAGCCAGAGAATTAATGCATTTGATATTAGAATGAATGACAGGTTGAGAGTTAAGGAGGATATTAGCGTCAGTAGTGATAAAACCAAAAGAAAATGGAAAGAAATAAGAAATTGTCGGCTAGGGAGAAGAGAAGGACAGTGGAAAATAATATGCTTTAATTTGCAGATGGTGTCACCGTGTTATAATGTACATAGAACAAAAGAGTTAAGTGAGGCATGGTGAGGAAGAAGACTGTGTGGCCTATTCGAAAGCGGGTGAAAGCGACGATTTGTTATCTGGAAATCTTTAAATCATTGAACCATGGACAAAGAGAGATAGTGGAAGTAATTTGTCTAAGCCAAGCAATGATAATGGTACTTATTTTTACAAATAAATGTAAATGGTATGATATATATCTTATTTATATATATTTATTGATATAAATGTATATTTTAAGGTATTATTTCTGTTTCCATAAATTAACTATTAAAATAAACTGTATGTAAAAGTATTTTGTACTTTCAAGAATTTTAACTTATTAATTAAAAAATCAGTATAGAACTTGATTTAATTTTAAATGTAATGTTTAGAACAGTTTGGTAAATATTTATATGACGTACATAACTTATTTTTATAAATTGATTAATAATAATTATAAGTGATAAACAGAATGCGTTTACAGGTATTTACATAAATCATATTCTCACGGTTTAGGATACTTTTTCTTACATATATAGTATTTACACACACCCGACAATTAACTCTTTACATCATCGTCATAGACCTTTTCCACGTTGTATTGCCTTAACGGAACTAGTAACAGATTAAGATCGGATGAATATCCAACATGTTTTATTTTATAAGTTGTGTACGACTGATCTACAGATTTAAAACGAAAATTTATGAGTTAAATGAGTTATATTTGTACGCAATCCACCCAAAACTAGGTATATTACACCCCGAAGACCGATTGGCGGCTGGATTGCCTATTACAACTGAAAAACCCACTAAAATACGAATACATTCAACGTAATATACGCATAGTCTTAAGGCATTTACAAGTGATCCATTTCGTTTGACCATACGTATGTGTAGTCGCAAAACACGACAAGTAAGTAAGTCGAGAACATCTACCGTTTCTGGAACGCGAGCGCGTAGACATCGATATTGTAGTATAAGTAGACATTCTTTGGATACAACAGACGAGATAAAAAAAAGTACAGGAATGAGTCAGTAAAAAGTGGAGGAAACCAGGAATCATTGGAACCACGAACCTGTTCAGAGGGACTCATTATATTTTCAAAAAACTAAACATTAATAACAATAACCTAGAACCATGATAGAGAAGATTTTAGAACACGTATAAAACCGGATGTTGTTCATAACCGCACACTTTCAAAAAAAGGTCGTCGTTCAAAACTGCACACTTTCAAATCTTAATCCCGCATATTTTCGTCAAATTAAACCGTTCAATACCACACACATCAATGCCCTATACATTTATCTATAATAACATTATCATTTAAGTGTCATACTATATATATATACATAATTATGTCGTAAAGAGTGACTAAAAAATAGGTATTCTAAGATTACACAGTAAATTACTTATATATTTGATCAACAATTTCGCGTTAAAAAAGTACTCAATAACGACAAAAGTTCGATAATCCGAAAACAGTGAGATCACAAACAACGAAGAAAAGTTTACAGATAATAAGAATTAAATCACAAACTATATGTCTCAAATTAAAACACTATGGTCAAAAGGTTTCAGGGGCAGAACTATGATTAAATTCGCTTCAACATTCAACTGTTTGGGCACGAAGAACGGCGCTTTGTATAGGCAATTTAGGGGCATTCGTGTCGGCTAGTATTTCTATGTACATTGACGGGTTTTAATTAATATTTTCAAGTTACCATTTCATTATTCATTAGTGCTCTCTCTTACAGCTGAACTATTTATTATTGTAATTACTTTTGAATTGTATATAATAAAAACTACATACCAACCAAAAATTTTAATTTTAAAACAGCATATGTAACCGTACAATAATTATTTGGTTCTTAGAAGAATAATGCTTTTTATTCATTTTTTTCGCACTTAATTTTTTGTTTAAATTGATAGAAAGATTGATACATGATAAATCATATACATTGTTCGCTACAACACGGTCATTTTGTATTAAACGAATGTGTCGCCGCTGATAATTCATGCCCATGACGACACGCAGTACATGATTAGTATAATGAGCACGGTCGACCACACAAACACACTCACACACGCACAAACATATTCTTACTGTTTTATTTTCGTATTAATTATGTTGTGAATTATAATATTTAGATTAAGTTAACATGTTAGATCGTTAACCGACGGCTGATCGTCTCAATTATTTAACACGGCCGCCGTAAAATCTGTGTCCCGTCTCAACTACCGTATGAGAACGGCTTTAAGTTTTATTATTGTTATATACCTACGTTAATTTTGTTGCTCAAATAGCAAAAAATAGTACCTTTTTTTATTTTTCTTACATTTTTACTACTATTTGTATTTATTTAAAAGTGTATGCGTTAATTTCTACAGTTAATATAATAATACTTCCATAAGCTCGCAGTTCATTTGCACTTTATTGTAGGCCATAATATTTAAAAGTAAAAAATAATATGGAGTTTAGCACAAAATAATGAAACCCGTATAATGCAATAAATTGAATCATACTTCGGAATAATGTCAATTAAAACTCCAATTGTTCTTCCTCATTGATTAGGATATTACAAAATTATGTTTTGTGTCATTTTTCTTCTAGTCCTAGACAATATACGATTTTTATTGTAAATATTTTGTGTGATAACAATTTTATTGTTTACCAACTATTTTTGTTATCGTTTATAGCAAACAAATTACTTACATTATAAAAAGTCCCCTCTGAATGATACTTTTACATGGATTATTGAAATTTTTTTAAACTATGAAAAAGTGTATTTTCCTTCGGTCATTGTTTTGTTTAATATTATGTAGATACTTGATAATCTTATATAATTTGCATGATACCGTTTTGCGTTTTATCGAAAAATAATTGCTCGTGTTTAGTGATCTAGTTTTCATCTGAAATAGAAACGCAAATACATTTTACATTTTTAACTTTGTAATCTATAGGTATGTCATTAAAAAATATTTTTAATTAATTAATTTACGCTGTAAAGTTATAATATTGGCCACGTGTGAGATCACGTAGTGTTTCTATTTTATCTATGAACTAGTGTTCGCAAACAATATAGTATACAATTTAATTGTTAACATATATATATACTACACATGTTAACATAAAATAATTATATAGTGATAGAGTGTAATAATTGTTGATCAAAAACCAATATAAATTAATTTGAATTATCTATTTTATTTACCAATCAATGTCAAAAGAGGAAATAACAAAGAATTTAAACTTAAATTGTGAACAGTAAAAATGTATTGTGATAGCGAATTTTAGTTCAAAAAAAAGTTAAATAAAGTTCTGCTTTACCAGTGTATATTTGGCCTAATACAAATCCCAGTTTGATTTGAATAAAAAGTAAAAGGAGTTATTTTGGCCAGTTATTCATTTTTATAGGAAATATTTAGCCACCTGATTATAATAAACTCTTGTGACAAATTTGAGGGATAAGTACATTACAAACATATCGAAAGAACTAATGATGGAAAAACTGACTGAAATGACATTTTTTTTTATGAAATAAATATGAATTTTTAATATAAGATCAGTAAACTTTGATTTGGTATGTGGTGGAATAGAATATTTATATTACAATTTATTTTAATCTCATGACTTATAGAAGTATACGGGTTTTCGTAATAAAATATGAAAATCATTGATCATGCAAGTACAAATCGAATTATATTAATTTTTAAGAATTCTCTTCGTTTTTCGTAATATCCGACGATTATAATGAAATACATAATAATGTGTCTGATGTCACAATGATTACTAATGATACAACAACGCCCTCAAACATGAAAAATAACAACAGACTGATCTGATTATGCATATAATATGTCTGTCATTATATAAATAAAAATATACGCATTCACAATTTAATTAAAAGATACCAGCTAACATATTCCTTTATATAATAGATTACAATTTTTCCCCGAGAAATCCTGCACACGAAAACCAACGAGATGAGCTATTTTTAATTCTTTATGTTTTTTTTTTTTTTTTTTTTTAAATGATTAACTTATAAGATATTATTTTAAAATGGACAAATTTTCACACATACATAGAACCGGTTTCTTCAAAATACACAGAAACACTTGGATTTATGTAAAAAAATCTTCAATCTTTAAACTTGTCACATTATCATAATTATTTAAATAAAAATAAATAATAATTTAATTAGTCCACATGACAAAAAATGAAATAAACCTTCTTCTTCTTCTTCTTCTTCTGGCTTTTATAACTCTCCAAGAGTTTCCGCCGTCATCACCAAATCACTCCACTTATCACGATCTTGCACAATCTCCCTCCAATCCTGCACTCCAAGATCTTCCAAATTCTTTTCTACAACATCCAACCATCTCTTCCGAGGACGACCCCGTGGCCTTTTTCCTTCTGGTTTCCAATTCAGTAGGTACCATTTTGGTTACTGCATCAGAATTCCGCCTCATGACATGTCCTAGCCATTGTATCCTTTGTCTCTTTATGAAACCATTTATTGATACTATTTTTAATTCCTCCTTCAATTCTTGGTTGAACTTCCTACGCCACTGATCTGTCCTTGGGTCTTTAACCGGGCCACATATCTTTCGCCATATTTTGTTTTCAAAAGTCTTTAGTCGTCGTTCTGTAATACTTGTAGTAGTCCATACTTCACAACCATATGTTAGTATCTATCTTATGATTGATGTATATAGTCTTATTTTTGTTCGTTTTGAAAATAATTTAGACTTAAAAAACTTCAGCAAGGCGAAAAACGCTCTCTCTGCTTTTGTTATTCTCGACCCGATCTCATAGGACCAATCATTTTTAGTATTAAGTAATGTACCTAGATACTGAAATTGTTCGACTTTTTCATATGGAAACGTCTCTAAAACATCAAGCGATGTTTCCATGTCTAATAGTTCCATTAATTTTGTTTTGTCTGCGTTTATGTGTAGCCCTATTCGTTCTGCTGCGTGTTTTAATGCTTCAGTAGCTCTCACTGTATCATCCAATGTTTCTCCTATGATATTAAGATCATCTGCAAAACCTAGCACTTTTATATGATATTCATTGACCTTCATTGGTTGGGGTAGTCTGGTCCTCCAGGTTGGGGGGTTGAGCGTGGGGTTAACAACCCCACCTTTGTAAAAAGTCTTATGTTATAATACCATCAAAAAATCAGCCTCGGACACAGAAAACTGGATATAAGCTAGGAAATAAACCTACAGAAAAATAAAATTTTGTTTTTCTTGGGTAGATTTTTCACTCAAACAACGTACGTATCTGTATTTATCCGTAGATAATGGTGAAATTTGCATGCTATACAAATTCACATTAGTATTGATATACGAGTATACATTTCATCCATAAGCAATGGTGCTCTGTGGTAAACGAATTTTGTAGGTAAAAATTTAATTTAATAGCATATTAACTAAAGTTTATCGACATTTGGAATACTGAATAGGTATGCGTGACTGATTATATCAGAACTCTTATCATATACGATTTATATAACTACGATTCCATGATGGTGGTAGGTGCAAAGCTCATTGGTACATATTAGATTTGACTAAGTATTCAATATTAAATTAATGCAATGACGTTACTTATAAATATATTTTAATGATGATCTTTTTTTTTTTTTTTGGGTAGTACATATGAAAGTTTACAAGAATTTTTGGTGGTACTGTATAGAAAAAAGCTTGAAGAATAATGTTCAAGAAACTGTTTTGAACTGTTATCGAAACTTGTTTTTATAAAATTGTGAAAAAAATTCACTGAAATTGTAATAATCAACCATAAAAATATATATATATATATTATTTTTCCAAAACAACCATATACTCGTAGAAGTGAAAATTTAATTTGATCGAGATGTATTATTTGTATTTATGAGACTATTGATATTACAAATGTTTAGTAACTTAATTCCTCATGTATATAAAATAATATAATATAATAATATGAAACTAAATTATTTATTAATTATTATTATTATTAAATATTTGAACATAATCAATAGAAACATAAATATGTTAGTTAAATTTATCTTAATTTATTCAAACAGCATAATTTGACATAATTTAAATAATATTTTTAAATTTAATTACAATTTACAAACACAAATCCGCCAGAAATTATTTGTTACATTATAAAATGTAATTAATATTACTAGTTTATTTTTATCAATTTTTATGCTATATATTCTTATTTGTTGCCAATTTTCCCATTGTAATAATTCATTACCTTTAGTACATTACATAATTAAAGAGTTGTTTGTACTATACACAAGGAACCCAATTCCCTAAATTTAAAATAACCGTTGATAGGTAAATATTATACTTTCTCTCAAATTTATGATTTAAATATGGACGTAATTATGGGGTTGACAACATAAATATACATAAAGTGGTATACAAAGTTAAAAAAAAATTATTATAACGCCCTTACAAGACCTACCGAGAATAACTAAGTATCTTGACAAAATATATGAAAACATTACATGGCGTCAATTTTTATAAATATTTTTATAAGAATATTCTAATTTCGTTGTATAATAAACTTCAATTGGTTAAAATAAACATGTATTTATTATAAATTTACTAATTTCTTTATTTATCTATACACTTCATTACATGTAGATATTTGAATAATCATCCGAATAAATATATTTAAGTATTTTAATTGAAGTATTTTTTATTATTTTTAAATCAGAAATTTTAACATTACTTAAAATAAAATATATTTTTTTTTTATATTTCAAACATGAAACCTCTCGAGCACGTTGGTAATTACTTTAAAATAAAAATATAACATAATGATACTTTTACACTTTTTCGTGGTAACAGGAGAACCTTTCATACAGCATGATAAAAAATATGAGCTGCACAGCGAAAAAATGAATAAAAAAAAAAAATTCTATTAATTTATTTTATTTTCTTAAATTATAATACAAGTATACATATAACTACACAATACAAAAAAAAAAAAAAAACTGATTTGAAATTATTTGATATTTATAACTGATCCCAAAATTATATGTTCAATGCATTTATTTTTCATTGTCACTTATTTTTTCTTAACATTTATTTAATACATATACAAACTATAAATTTTAGACTTTCATTTTATTGCAATTTAGATATATTATATCATGAAATCATTAAAATATTTCAATATAAATAAGTTATAAGTATGATTTTTTTCAATTAAGTAATATTATCAAACTAATGATTTTTTGGTATTTTTTGACAAGGGCTCGTATATTTCACAATAGTTTGTTTACATGATGAATAGTTTTGAGATGGAAATTCATAATATTATTTTACGAATATTGTTAAAATAAGTACTGTTCAGCTACTACTCGTAATAGCTATCTAAATACTTAGTGTAAATTACATATTTTATGAATAATAAATATTTAAGCTTTATTTTAACTCATCATATAGTACATTCACTTTAAAAATAATTCATGAGCTACCATAATACTTTAAAAATTATGAATATGCAATTCTGGATAGTGTACAATATTACAATTGTAAATAAATACGTGGCCATTTTTATAAATTACAAAATATATATGGATTAAAAATAAAATAAAAATGCTGGCCCTCCAATTTAGAACACGCATTTAAAAGGTAAGCAAATGGTACTGACCCTTCGTCCCTTCAGATATTTTAAACTAAATAAAAATAATTGTATCTCCTCAAATGGACATTTTTTAAGCAGTTAAAAACGTAGAAAAATATTAAAGACTTATACAATATAGAACCAAAGAACCAAAAAAAAATTTTTTTTAAACATAAACATTTATTTTATACTGTTTATTGGTACTAAGAATAATAAAAAGATCAATTATTATAATGGCAAACCCTTGTAGGGATTTCTTTATGAAAAAATGTAGGATAAATGTTCATTTGAATTAATTTTATTTCTTTTTTTCAAGTTTGTTATAAAAATAATAGTACGAATTTGGGGATGATATTTAATTTTTTTTTTTTTTAATATTCTTCAATCAAGCCATTGGCTTCAGTTATTATCGATAAAATAAACAAACAACCTTTTGAGTTCTGATCCCTACGAGCGTTTCGTAAAATGTTTGTCCAAACAGTAAAGTGTATCCGTAAACAAAGCAATACTTGAAGCATTTTATTTTTCCCTCTGCTACTTTCTTAGTACGTAAAAACTTTAAGCATAGGATGGATATAGGAATTTATAATATTTCTTGATTCAACTACATCGTTCCTCTTCTACCGGAATGAAATGTATCCACGCTGAAATAGTTGTGACGCTATAAAATATCGTTGCATCATTTTACAGGCGTCCCAGTGGTTCAAAACATAAATTTAGTTTGTCAAACTTAAAATTTTTCAAACTTAGGAATTAGGCCTACATAATACTTATAATTTTGTCAATGGTTTAGAAAGTATAATTTTTAGTCACTTTTTGGCAAGGCTTGGAATGTTAACTAATTTTTTTTAACTCGTAAAATTGAGTTAATATAGATGTTGTCATAAACACTTATTATTTATTATTTTTATTATTATCTTGTAATCATTTACATATAAATTGATATTGACTTATTATTAAAAAAATACAATTTATGCACTAGAATTTGAATTCACACCCCCAAATTAGTCAAAAAAACATCAATTATAATTGGCCTTTATTGCCAGATTTTGTAAGTTTAGTAGAGCCCAATTATACTGTTGATACATTTCAATATCATACACCTTGTTCATGGTCTTTTTGAGTACAAACACCATCAATTTTTTCCCGTTTTCCAGCACTTTTGCAGCAAACCACGTTATGCCGTGTTATATTGTATTTTTGTTTAGTCGTTAGTAATTATTGCTCGGGCATGTTTTTTATTGCTCTTATTACATTTCATTTTAGATAAATTACCAGCGGCCATTATGAACAACGTGGCTTTGTCATTCGTGTATTGCAAACGGGACTTGTCTTTTCATCGCGAGCAGTTGGCCACGGTCGATCGCACGTACACAAAGTTCATCTTGTACCTTTTTTTATTGTATTTAATTTAATTACTTACGGAATCTGGTACGATTTCGAGAATGAAAAACCAGTCGGGCATCACAATTGCAACGCGAATACTGATCGACAAAATTTTTGTTTAATTGTTAAGGGCCGATGGGGCTAGCCATTATAGGCATTTTTTTTATTATATTATCATTAGTTGTGTCACTGTAGCACTTTTAAGTTTTATTATTTTATTATTATACCTTTAAACCAGGGCTTAAATCAAAATAATATATATTGTTTACCATTATGGGATATTTAAACGTTATAAGCAAATGAGCGTTTAATGTTATAAATAATTTAAACGTTATTCAATTTAAGTGTTTAAACGTTAATAAAATTTTCCGTTTATCATTATTGACAATTAAAACGTTATGAACAATTTAGCGTTATATGTTTAGCGTTTTACGTTATTTAAATTATGGTAAAATTTGAATTCATTTTCAAATGTAGTATTTAGAGATTAGTACTCTATAAAATAACATTACATATTTTAAATATTATATAAATTACCTTTAACGATATTTTCTCTTTATAATTCTCAATACTCTTAACTTATAAATGAAGCAATCATATTTATTGTATAACAACAATGAAATGCTCATACCACATAAAATATGTATTTATTGTCAATTTATAACTTATTTATGGTGTGTTATTAATGTTTCATCGGTGTTCACCGAAATTATTATATTATAGGCCATACGGGTTGCGCGCTGACAATATCCAACGTAATTTCAGAAAGCATATTTATAAATTATAATTGGTAATGCTTATTTATATTTCATTGATTCATAAATTTATTGTTGTTTTAAACATCTCTTTACATTTATTTTATTTAGATTACCTAGTAATTTAAGTTAATTTTACAAAAATAACTATGTTCCAAATCTATTTTACTGATGGTTATAAATATTTTTCAATGAAAATTTATTTTATGTTTCAATCGTTAATCATTTTCTGTTACGTTATTCGATCGTAATTTTAATCGTTTTTCGTTTCTGTTTCGTTATTCATTATCCGTTTTCACCGTTTAACGTTT